GAGCGGCCCTAGACGCGCAGACAAAGAATGTAATCGGCAATTGAAGATGGCAACATAAGGAAAGGTGAGAGCTTGAGGCACCGCTCCGAGTTTGTGACCGTATGTGCGAATAGGCGGATAGGCTATAAGAAAAGGATACCTATTGATTTGCTTGCTACGCCTACTGAGGAAAGGTCTAGTCGCCTGATTGCGAAATCGCCTGCTTGCCTACTCACCCGCCTAATCGACTCGTCTGTCTGTCGTTCGAAATCGCCCAATCGCCCGACCGCATGAACGATCGCCAACTCTGAACGATGTTGAAGGCTGGATTTAACCAACACTAACGATAGCTACATCAAAATGATTGGCACTTATTCTGATAAAGATTCAGCCTCACTATAAAAACCCTTCCGTTCGGTATGAAAACCATTTCTATCAACTATGGGAGACGTCGTATTTCTTTGAGCCTCGCCGAACTTCTGTACTCGTCTCACCAGATGGTTCTAAGAAGAAGCTCGCGAACCACAGCGCAATGAGAGTGGCATATAAGGTGATCGAATTTCCGTGCCTACCTACTCCTTTCTTTCAGGAAGACTACTAAGTCGTATGTGTTTTCACAACAGCTTCATTTTCAGTTTGTCTTCGCTCCAAATTCGAATTTCTCAGCAAAACCCGAGCAAATGTACGGATTTATTCCGCAATGGGGGAAGATCGATGTAGTTCTTTATCGAAACGTGAGAAGCTATAAGTAGAATGGGCAATTGCTCTTTAAAGGGGTGTTTATGTTGTTGTTGCTTTTTTTCAGAAAGGAAGACCTCCAGACGAGAACTATGCGAGTTCAGTTTGCAGCAGCTCCAAAAGGTGACGATCCAAAGGAGAGTTTCTCCACTGGACAACCTGTTGGCGAGTATGCGGGTGAAACTGTAGTACGATTGGTTGCAATTGAGTGAATAATGGCATCACTGAATAATGATCAAGATGAAATAAACGGCTGTAGTTTTAATAAAAAGTTCTATGATTGAATGTATCGTAAAGATTCGCGAAGATTAAAGTGACCAGCTAGCAGTCTCCCAACTTTTCTAGATCATGTATCGGATCCCCGTTTGAAATAGCAGACACACGAAATAAGCTTCAGTATGCCATAGTGCGTAGTCTGTCCAGCACTTGGGAGGTTCACGGTAGAATGGAGGGTCGATTCATTCAACTTCACGATGTAAATTGCCTTTATACTTCATTCCAATCTGTTTTGCGTGCAATTGCAAGACACATCATCTAGGGACATCATTTAGGAATAAGCTTAGGAGATTGGCAGGAAGTCAAAGAAAAGTGAGCACGGCTAACGGTCCTCAGAGTCAATCCTTCCCCGCATAAGGCTGAATCACGTATTCAAGGGGAAAAACATACTGTCCGCGGTTTTAAATGCATTGCCAAGTGCCCCCGTATCTTGTGATAGCGCCTGGGTTTGTCGAGCTTTAGAGTGATGTGTGCGCTATAAGAAAGTAGCCAACAACACACATCCAGTTGCATACCTATGTAGTGATGGGCTCGGAAAATCGAAACGACGCGTGCCTTTCGGAGTTTTTAAAGCTGATGACATTACAGGGTGAAGCATAAATATGGTGACAAAGTTGGACTTCAACAGCTCGCAGTTGCTCCGCCATAAATGGAGCATCTGATTGGATCATCAGATCCACCTATCACATATAATACTATGGGTTCATGGTTTCCTGACGTTTGTTTCCGTTCCCTGTTAACTTGGTGAAGGCTCCACTCAGTCCGAAACGAATGGGGTTTCTCGTCTCACGCTCTGAAGGGTGATTCCTTCCGAGATCTGTCGTATCTGAAGTATGCATCGCCAGAGTGTCATAAAACTCTCAACTGCAGTGCACATGATGGTATTTTTCAGAGGTCGATCGGTTACGGAAGCGCCTTAAGAAGTCCTTATCAATCGTTATCAGTTTCTGGCACCCACCAACAATGTCCCCGTCCCACCCCACATAACACTTGTAAGTATGGTTGCTCTGGTGTCAACGCGAGCCAGGCAACGGAATCGACGACTTCAGCGTTCTGGCGCGCCTTATCGGCCCTTATCAATCGTTATCAGTTTCTGGCACCCACCAACAATGTCCCCGTCCCACCCACATAACACTTGTAAGTATGGTTGCTCTGGTGTCAACGCGAGCCAGGCAACGGAATCGACGACTTCAGCGTTCTGGCGCGCCTTATCGGCCCTTATCAATCGTTATCAGTTTCTGGCACCCACCAACAATGTCCCCGTCCCACCCCACATAACACTTGTAAGTATGGTTGCTCTGGTGTCAACGCGAGCCAGGCAACGGAATCGACGACTTCAGCGTTCTGGCGCGCCTTATCGGCCCTTATCAATCGTTATCAGTTTCTGGCACCCACCAACAATGTCCCCGTCCCACCCCACATAACACTTGTAAGTATGGTTGCTCTGGTGTCAACGCGAGCCAGGCAACGGAATCGACGACTTCAGCGTTCTGGCGCGCCTTATCGGCCCTTATCAATCGTTATCAGTTTCTGGCACCCACCAACAATGTCCCCGTCCCACCCCACATAACACTTGTAAGTATGGTTGCTCTGGTGTCAACGCGAGCCAGGCAACGGAATCGACGACTTCAGCGTTCTGGCGCGCCTTATCGGCCCTTATCAATCGTTATCAGTTTCTGGCACCCACCAACAATGTCCCCGTCCCACCCCACATAACACTTGTAAGTATGGTTGCTCTGGTGTCAACGCGAGCCAGGCAACGGAATCGACGACTTTTGCGTTCTAGCGCATCTTATCAGCCCTTATCAGTTGCTATCGCTTCCAATCATGTACCACCAATGTCCCGGGACCGCCCCACATAACACTTGTAAGTATAGACGCTCTAGTACCAATATGAACGACAAAACGAAATTGGCGATGCTCGCTTTCTAGCCCCTCTTATCAGCTATTATCAGTCGTTATCAGTTCCTATCACGTACCACTTGTGTCCCCATCCCACCCCCTATAACATATGTAAGAACCACTGCGCTATCGTTACTGTGACTCGAGCTATGAATTTCCGGTCAAACACACACACACACCAACAGACACACGCTAGCCGCTTATATATAGTAGGATATCACACAGTTGAAAACCAACTGGCCATGAGATAAAGAGTTCAAGGTTGCTCAGGTTCAGTTCATCGTTTAGTTAGGAGGATGTATTGATTTGGGTTGGCTCGGCAAGTTTCTTTGAATTTCCTAGTAATTAGTTCGAAGTTTGTTGAATGAGGCATTACTATCCAAAAAAATTAAAAAGCTTTTTCTCTTCGATGCACAAACGAGCTCCCTACGCGACCTGCGCCCCAAGCCCTCGGCATCCTTAACTCCGCCTTTACCCTCACTATCTGAGGAAACGTGTCGTTCGTGGTATTCATAAGCAGGTATTCCGAGCTTTCTATGCTGAACTATTCAAACCGTTTGTCCTATTAGTCCTAGAATCGAATCTAGAACCAATTTATCATCGGTCTTCATTAAATTGACTTGGATACGCTTTTTGACAATATTCGATTCTTCTGTCGCTTCCGTAACCGATCGACCTCTGAAAAATACATCATGTGCACTGCAGTTGAGAGTTTTAT